AACTAATTGTATTTGCTAGCGAAAATATATATATATATATATATATATATATATATATATATATATATATATAGAGAGAGAGAGAGAGAGAGAGAGAGAGAGAAAGAGAGAGAGAGAGAGAGAATTAACAAAACTATTAAGTCAAGTAACAAGCTAATAAAATATCATAATAGCAAATGAAATAATACTACATATAGTAGAGTATATAATATCGATAAGTGAGGAACTGAAAAGTTATTTGATGACCATATGAATTTTTTTCTAATTTAATATGATTTTCTTTTAAGGCATATTTTACTGGATAAAAAAAAGAAAAATAAAATTTAATTCAAGCAATATGATAAAATATGGTCAAATAAATTAGATCACATGACATGATTTATTTACAATTAATATTTAGAAAATTTCCTTATTTTCTTATTTAGTCATGAACTTTGTCTAATATTTTAAACTTAATTTGAATTATACTATTTAAATCTTCATATCTACCAATATGATTTTGACAACAAGAACCAAGGTATTATATTGCAGCAAATGGCTAACATTTTATTAACTTGAAAGAATCAATTATAGTCCATGTTTTTCAGTTGAGCATCCAGACCACACATTATCTACCATGCACCAGACATTTAATACCTTTAGAGTTGTCCCAAAGATATGTTTTATATTCAAAGATACTTTACAAATCTGTGCATAACCATATGTATCCATGATACACATTTAGTCCAACAAATAAAAAATATGGATTTGTGTGGGCATAAGCTACATAAAACAATCGAATACAGACAGGAACTATGATTTTGAAATTTTACTTTCAAAACTATATTTTATTAGAAGTTGATAGATGTGATCACTGCTGGTACTGCCTGAAACAAAATTTTCCCTTAAAGCACCAACATTTTATGATGCTAAACTAATTCAAACCACAAAACTCTACTAGTTCATCTTAATAAATCAAATATGATGATCAAGTTAAAGATGTTATCTGGAAAATAGTAAAAATGAATAAGAAATCGTTCAAAATGTTGATGTAACACCTGACTACAGATTACATCAACCTCAGTTCCCGTGTCAAATGTAGGAGAGACAAGACTCTCTATGAAGGTTATAAGTCCATGCAAAGTAGTCACTCCATCAACTATCACATCTCTCCCCTGATTCTCTTTCACATTGTATACAATCAACTTATTTAGTCCAACAACCAATACAACATCATCATCACTCATAAAGCACAAGGGTGCAGACACTGAATTCGGTACTGTAAATCTAAATTTGGTCCGGGACTCCTCAACTCGATACTCTCTCATCATCCAAACATCAACTTCATCATTCTCGTGTCTAGTGAACATATAAAAACATCCTCTAACAACTGTAAGATTATATAGCTCAACATCATCTTTATCAATACTAGCAGGTGCTGACACCTCAGAGAATTTCTCAGCACTTAAATCAAAAGCAACAATTATAGATGAATCACCAGAAGATTTCATAGCCAACCAATACAAATCGCCATTTACCAAAGCCCCATTATCGCTAATAGAAATGGCATGAGGTAAACTCTCAAGTCTACTCCACATACCCGTTCTCACAGAGTATACATCAACAAAAGTACTGTAACTAGGCCCTTGATATCGAGAAATAGCAACCACCTTATAATCATCAATAGCAAAATCATACCCTAGACTATACACGGATATGTAGCAACATCCACGGAGAGCCAAATCAAAGACTGGAATTCTGTGGTACTTTAAGGTTGTGGGGTTTATTAAATATTAACCTTATCCATATACTTTACTTTTCTGGGGTTTATTAAATATTTAACCTCTTCCCAATTAATCATCAAGACCAAGCCATTACATGAGCCAACAACTCCAGTCCAATAGTCTGAGATCTGCGGGAAATTAAGCTTTCTTGAAATGGCATCAGTTGTTCCATTATGGGGTTGTGGGTGAATCGGAGAAAAAAAGAGTTTCTCTTCTTTCTTTTGAGTATAAAATTTGAGGTGACATTTAATGAATTGTGAGCCTGAGAGAAGAGAGCACCACTGCTTTGATACACACCTGAATTGGCTGATACACTTAGCCGAAAGACGGGTAAGTATGTTAAATATGATTTCTTGGGGTAGTTTTTCAGCATTGCTCATTGCCATCTCCAAGAGTGGAGAGCTCGTGTATTTAATTTTGATGGAGGAAGCTGATACGAAGTGGCAATGAAACGGTAAAAAAAGAGAAGAAAAAGCTGCTAAAGGTGTCACGACCCAAAATCCACTAAAGGTCGTGATGGCGCCGGACACCACTATCAGGCAAGCCAACCAAAGTACTTAATTAAATTCTCGTTTTAGATACTCTAAAAATTTATGATTTTCCTTCAAATTTACTAATAAAAAGATAATCGTTTCAAATCAAATTAAATGATAAGCAGTTAATACAAAGTACTTCATAACCATCCCAGAACCCGGTGTCACAAGTGCATGAGCAATTTCTAAGAAATCGAATAAAGTACAACAGTTGTCCGGAACACAAATTGGACAGAAAGTAAATACCATTCTGATAGAGACTATACTAGCTGCGGGTCGCCTCGAGGGAATACAGCTCACCTAGTCTCCGGGTCACCCGTGCTGCTACGCCCAGTAGGCCCATAGAAATACATGTACCTGTGCAACAAAATGCACAGCAAGTGTAGCATGAGTACGAAAACAACGTGTACTCAGTAAGTGTCACGACCCAAATTCCACTAAAGGTCGTGATGGCGCCGGACACCACTGTCAGGCAAGCCAACCCAAAATACTTAATTAAATTCTCATTTTAATACTCTTGAACACGACCCAAATTCCACTAAAGGTCGTGATGGCGCCGGACACCACAGTCAGGCAAGCCAACCCAAAATACTTAATTAAATTCTCATTTTAATACTCTTGAAAACTATGACTTTTATTCAAATTTACCAATTTAAGAAGATAATTGCTTCGAGTCAAATTAAATAATAAGCAATTAATACAAAATACTCCATAACCATCCCAGAACCCGGTGTCACAAGTGCATGAGCAATTTCAAAGAAAAATCGAATAAAGTACAACAGCTGTCCGAAATACAATTGGACAGAAAATAAATAGAATCCTGAGAGAGACTATACTAGCTGCGGGTCGCCTCGAGGAAATGCAGCTCACCTAGTCTCCATGTCAACCATGCTGCTACGCCTGCGAAGCCATTAGTGGCGCATGTGCCTGTGCAATAAAAATGCACGGAAGTGTAGTATGAGTACAAAAACAGCGTGTACTCAGTAAGTATCCCGCCTAATCTCGAAGAAGTAGAGACGAGATGGCAACTTCGACACTTACTAAAGGTCCAGTAATATTATTATTAATGCGATGACTCACGGATTTATTAAGAACCACAGTAGATTCAAGTAAATTACTAAACAGGTAAAAGTTCCTCTTTATTAAAAGTCTCCAGATTTATAATCCATTAATTAACAAATTTTCTCAAGTCGGGAGAGCACATATTAGTATCAACAAATATCAAGGCAAGTAATACAAGCATGCGCAACTCATGTCGAGGTCGTACGGACCGATCCAACAATATTTAAAATGTGCACTGCCGAGGGTCGAGCAGCCCGAACCATAGATGCATCTATTACCCCGCTCGCGAATCATACATGCGACGTGGTCAAATTTAAATAAACAATCACCCTGCTCGCGTACCATACATGCGACGCAGGTACACATTGAAACACATGCTCAACAGAAAATTAAGAATTTTACGGGGAATATTTATCACATTAGAAGCCAATTCTCATTCAATGAATTAAGGAATAAGTTTAATCCTCTTAGAAATTCATTTACCAGTTCGATAAGATTTAAGCAATTCATATTGTCAATAACATTACAAGTATTCCAAGTATAGCATGCTTTTTGGGTCCTAGACTACCCGAACTTACACATATTAGTAGCTACGCACGGACTCTCGTCACCTCGTGCGTATGTAGCCCCCACAAATAGGAACACATAACCAATTATTTTACCTATGGGGACAATTCCCTCTTACAAGGTTAGAAAGGAGACTCACCTCGCTCCGAAGATCCATAACCGGCATTCCACACCCTTCCGAAGACTTGAATCGATGCTAAATACTCGCAAAACTAGCCAATGATTATGCAAAATCATTAATATACGATAAACTGCTCATATTAATCCAATTTATAACAATTCCTAACCCCGATCGAAAGGTTGACAAAAACGCCCTCGGGCCCACGTGCCCGGATTCCGAAAATTTTTGAAGATTAAGCTTACCCATGACTCCATGAACTCAAATATATGATTTTCTCTTAATTCCATACCCAAAATCGTAGTCAAATTCCAAGAATATCAATTTTCTAGGTTTTCCCTCAAACCCCAAGTTTTCTACAAATTTCCATGTCCAAATCCGTATGTAATCATGTATTTAACTCAAAACTAACATAAAATACTTACCTCATGCTTGGTGGTGAAAATGGCACCTCAAAGTTGCTCCAAAACGGCTCCAATGGAAGAAAATGGGGTTGAAATGAACCCAACCCCCGATTTAAAAGAACCTCACTACCTCCAGCATTTCCGCATCTACGGTCCCGCTTCTGCGAGAAATGGGCTGCATCTGCAAAAACGCGCCAAAGAGATGGGACCGCATCTGCGGTCTCCAGGCCGCATCTGCGGAGCCGCTTCTGCGGCTTGGGAGCCGCATCTGCGGTTCCTGGCCTAGCCTGCCCTGGGCCGCTTCTGCGATGGAAGGACCGCATCTGCGGTTTCGCACCTGTGGTCCACCAACCGCAGGTGCGGTTATGACAGAAGCAGCAACTTCAACACTTCTCAAAATTTCATTTTCGATCCGTTAACCACCCGGAATCCACCCGAGGCCCCCGGGACCCCAACCAATCATACCAACCAATCCTAAAACACATTACGGACTTGCTCGAGGCCTCAAATCATATCAAACAACGCTAAAACCAAGAATCGGCCTCCAATCCAGGCTTTATGAACTTTAGAATCTCAAACTTCTACTTTCGATGTTTAAACCTATCAAATCACGTCTGATTGACTTCAAATTTTGCGCACAAGTCGTATTCGACATTACGGACCTACTCCAACTTCCGGAATCGGATTCCGACCCCGATATCAAAAAGTTCACCTCCGGTCAAACTTCTCAAAAACCTTCAAATTTCTATCTTTAGCCAAATGACCCCAAAATGACCCACGGGCATCCGAATTCACTTCCGATCACGCTCCCAACTCCAGAATCACCATACGGAGCTACTTCTAGTCTCGGAATCCCAAACGGACATCAATAGCACTGAAATGCACTTCAACCCAAATTTATGAAATTTCCTCCAAAATGCTAACTTCCACAATATGCGCCAAAATGCTCCCGGGTCATCCTAAACCCGATCCGGGCATACGCCCAAGTCCGAAATCATCATACGAACCTGCTGGAACCTTCAGATCCCGATTCCGATGTCGTTTACTCTGAAATCCATTCCTAGTCAATTCTCTCAACTTAAAGTTTCCGAAATGAGAATTTTCCTCTCCAAGTCAACTCTGAACTTTCCAAAATTTAATTCCGACCACGCGTACAAGTCATAATGTCTGAATTGAAGCTGCTCATGGCCTCGAACTGCTGGACGGCGCGCTAGGGCTCAAAACGACCGGTCGGGTCGTTACATCCTCTCCCACTTAAACATACGTTCGTCCTCGAACGTGCTAGGAACTGTGCTGTGGTTGTCTGGAATCACTGCTTAATACCTCGTGCACCTACCGTGCTACCACAACTCAGTTGGGAACATCAGCTCGATCAAATCTAAAGATAACCTCTTTCATTTAGGCAAATAAGCCTTGGAGCCCAGTTTCAACATCCGAAATTCTCTGCCAGGCCTGCTTCCAACATATGAACACCGTATCAATCACCACACGTTGTACCAGAACATGACTGCACACCCTTGCTGAATTCACACCATACACCCCATCATTCACAAGACCATAATAACACTCTCTGATCATAATAGTCGATATTTCCCGAATCTGATGCTCACAATGCACCCCATGACATATATAGGTCCTGCTCTAACTCTTACAATACCGCCACGACGGAAGAGATGCGTAGAAATTCGTAACCAATTGCCGAACCAACAAATCATTGGGGCGATACTCCTGTCAGGAACCATCACCTCATCTTGAACCAAATAATGTCCTTAGCTCCTTAATGTACTTCATATAATCCGATCGCACTGATCCTAGATCCAGTAACCTTATCTTACTCTGTACAAACTGCTCAGGCGATAAGTAACCCCTGACATGACCAAAAGTCTCATGTGATGCCACAACGTGCCAATAGGCTACCAACTCGAACACGACACATAAGGAAAATGGACTCTGGGAGGGACTACTCAAATCACGCAACTAATATGAACTTTCCTCAGAAAATAGAGAAACAAAACACATAGAATAGAATATAAGGGGCTGTAATTATCATCACACTGTTGCGGCGTGCAACCCGATCCGCACATAAAACTCACATAAGGAGATACACATCGAGCTGAATTGTTCATTACAACAAGATACCGAGTATCGGTCACAAGCACGCTAAGTGCATAATACCATCCCTGAGGGGACACACAGTTCCATAAGCCAACAAACTCAAGCACAACCGAGGTGCGATATATGTTCTAAAACTAAAGAGTCGTACTGCTCACATAACACCATCGCTACGCGGAACCTCAACACGTAAGAAATTACCAAGCCGTTTCGCAACTCACACGGCACAATATAGCATTACATGAAATAGCCGACAACGAATTAACACCCAACGTCTGTATACTCCTCTATAATGAGAGCTACGCTGAAATGAACATATCTTGCCTGATACAGAGCCCATATCCACATTTTAAATCCATCCATAGACCTCAAGCTG